GCCTCTGGGCGCCTCCAGTAGCACACACGTGCACACACGGGACACAGCGCCAGGTCACTGACGATGCCGGTGAGGGGAGGAAGAGGTGCACACCCCCCTCAAACCCAGCCACACACAGACACGCACAGCCACTCTGCACCACCTGCTGCAGGACAGGCCCATGGGTGTGAACAGAGGACACGAGGGTTCCGGGGCTCTAACCCCTCCCTCCGCGAAACCACCCAGACACACGGAGCACAGGCGCCCAGCCTGGACCCAGCACACCAGTGTCTGGGTGGCACCTGTGGATTCCTCCCATGTCCACACACTGCCCATGGACACACGGCCACTTCACACACTGCACACAGGATTCAGACACCAGGACAGGTCAGGACCGGCAGGCGGGACCGCTCGGTTGGCCCCGTGTGGGCATGCACCATTCGCAGCTCCAACCACGCAATCCGTGGTGTGCATGCACGTGTGCACACACACCCCACCTGCAGTGGGAAGTCTGGAAGCAGGTGTGTGACTTCTCCCACACTCCTCCTGCACTCACACATGGCCAGGAGAGGGCCTGGGACCCCAGACTCCTTGCTCCCCCACTCTGAGCACTCCTCCACCCCAGGCCAGAACTCGACACAGCTGTGAGGCGCGGACAGGGACACAGCTGGGAGGGACCCATGGCTTGGCCACATGGTCCCCGTGATCCAGAGAGGCCTCCCTGGCCCTGCACTGCCCTTCACTCTCACCCCTCCAGACCTCCCCCTCCTCCCCTGCCAGGAATGGGGTGGCTGGCGGGGCGGGGGCTGCTGGCGGGTCGGTGCCAAGGAGAGACAGTGGAGCAGGACCCAGGAGAGAGCAGGGAGAGCGCCCTGGGAGGTGGGGGTCCCGGAGGAGAGCGATGGGAGAGGGACAGGGCAGAGGGCATACACCCAAGAGGAAGGCAGAGCAGGGGGCACAGAGCCGGGTGGGTGGTGTGGGAGGTGGACCGACACAGAGGCATGGAGACCAGAGCGGGCACCAGGAGGGGGAGGAAGGGAAACTCCGAAGAGGGGATGGAGACCCTGCGCTGGAGAGGGCCCGGGTTCGCGTGGGCTCAGGGCGCAGAGTGGGTGGTGCAGGGGCCTAGTGTGAGGGGGAATATCCGAGGCTGACAGGTCCGTGGGGGAGGGTTGTCAAAAGAAGCCCAGAGGGGGCTAGGATGAGCGCTCCAGCGGGGTGCAGGTGGGGGAAGCCTAGGGAGGGGGGGGGGGCAGAGTGAGGGAGGACTCTCCGGACCTGCACCTGGCCAGAACCCTCAGCGCCCCAGCCCTGGTCTCTGTGCCTTCCTGTATCTCTCTGTCCTGGGATGTCTCTGCATCTCCAGATCTGGGGTGTCCTTGTCCATTCCACCTCCCCAGAGGGCCGCCTCTCAGGGTTCCCTCCCCTGGGCCACTGGTCCCGCCTTTTTTCTAAGGAGACCTGCCTTTGGGTCATGGTTTCTCTCAGCCTGTGTCTCTCTCTACATGTCTCCTGGCATCTCTGTGTCTCTGAGTCTCTGAGGCTGGCCCAGTCTCTCTGTCAGTCTTTGCCTCACTCTCCCCCTTTTCCGAGTCTGTGTGCCCTGTCTCTGTCCTGCTGGATCCCCTCACCCCCAGCTCTACCTCTGTCGCTGCACGTCTGTCCCTCTGAGCATCTCCGTGTCTCCTCTCATCTCCACCCCAGGCCCTGAGCCTTCGCCTCGGTCCCCCCACTCTCGTTCAGACCCAGGTTGATGGGGTGGGGGGGCGCTGCGGCGGGAGCTGTGTGTTCCCAGCGCAAAATAGACTCCTGTTGCCATGGCGACGTGAGCGCGGCCTCCGAGACGCGAAGCTTCAGGCTTGGGGGGGGCAAAGAGGGGGGACACCTGG